TGATGGACTACTAGAAAGGCAACAGCAACCCATGGAAACCATTCAGGCTTAGCTCTGCAAAAGCCCAAGTAACACAAAGGAAGAGAAATATTGCGAAGAAGATGACTATTTTCCAAGCAAGAATGCCAAAAGAAGATGACACTAAAACTAGACAGCAACAAAACATTAATTTATTGGTGGCACAAAACCTGCAAGGCCACCATACCATCAGCTTTCTAGCATGCTGGTCTAAGATTCCTTACTGCATCCCTTCTCACTGCAGAACTAGGCACTTTCCAAATGGCATAAATGGGAACACATTTTTTAAAGTGAAACATAGGTTTACATACAGAGACAAGATGAGGAATGACTGAAGCACAAAATACCCTCCATTGCTCTACTGCATGCAGTCAACTTCCTCTGTCATGCCTGGTGCTCCATCTCTGCATCCCCAAATCTTTAGCAGTTCTTAGTTCTTTAAAAAATGTTTAGTCAGCCAGTTTCTGCCTCTGATGACCATTTTTAGCTTTCTTTTTCCCCTCAGCATATTCTCCAGGTCTCTATCCACACATGCCCACACTACTAGACAAACTACCCTAAGAAATGGAAGGATATCTTAAATAATAATAATAATAATAATAATCCAGCGCCTCATCAACTTCCAGGAATGTAAACTAGCTTAAAAAAACTTAGATAATTTATTTTCTCTTTTTTTTTTTTAAGTATTTTTTAGTGTTTTACAATCTTCTATTTAAAAGAATGTCATGATTTGCTCCCCTTTCACCCTCTCCAGCTCAGCTATGTCCAGAAAACATTTCTCTCTAGCTCACATTTCAAGGCAGAGCAAATGTATGTGCACATGGAGGGGCAGCAATAAGTCAATTAGGAACCTCATTAAAATAAAATATTTAAAAACTTCCTTTCTGATTGAGAGCATTGAGAGCTACGGTAGTAACAGAAACACAGATGCCAACTTGGTCTTGCTTGTCCAGGGCCTCCCTTGCAGATAAAGAACAATTTCCTACAATAAAACTGTTTTCATCTTACATTAAACATCCAATATGATAAAGCACCTGCCACTTACCTTGAAAGACACTTTCACAGTCTAATAAATCACACTGTGAGAAACTGTTATGCTGTCACCAATGCTTTTTTAACGATATCACTTTCCCCCTCCGTATGCTCCTGCTCATCACCATGCCTTGCAGGGCTCACATATCTGATTAACTCATCCCCAAAATAGTCAGCCAAACTAAGCAATTTGCTCTTCAATTGAACTTGCTGGTCTTGCTGCCACCTCTTCTGCTGTTCTGCTACATCTGTGAGAGGCACCCAAAACTAAGCGCTGTTCTTATAGTGTTGCCAAGGCCTTTGAGCCTCTGAAGAAAAGCCCTAGAAGCAACATTTATCAAACAGACAGCAGCTACCACTGCTTTTTTCCACATGTGCATTAAATTGGAGGGCGTGAATGGGAAAGATGCTGCCTAATCGGTCTCCTTGCAGATGGTCAAGCCACAAAGTACTCGAGCAAAGCCACACACATCCTCCCAGCCGCATGGCCTTGGCCAAGGCCCAAACCACACACCAGCAGAGCCACACTGGGCTCACACGCTCTATGCCAGCACCACCCCTGAGCAGAGAACTGCAGCTTGCCCCTTCTGACTGCCGCTTAAGGGAAATCTTGGACCTGAAGCTGTTCAGTGCCCTGGGACACTGAAGGGACAGAGAAGGGACAGGACCATGGCACAAACTATCAGACGTTTACTACTGAGCCACCTGGGCTACCACACTCTTCTGTACCTGTTCGTACCTGCTCTGTAGCCTTTCTCATGCTGTAACTGTCCCAGCAACTCCACAAAATACAGCCATTTTCAATATATGCCCTGCAGTTTGAGGCGCTTCAGTATTCCAGATTTGATTTTGATGTCATAGAGCTGATTGGCTTTAGGAGAGAAAATGGAGCAAAATATCATGAGTTTTATGCTGATCATAGTTTGGAATAACAGAAGGAGGAGAAGCCCATAGGATCATGGTTTGTTTCCACCTACAATTTTTACATCCTTCCCACAAAGGAGCCAGTGGCTTTCTTTATAGAGCGGACTATTCTGACACACAAGGAGGTGCCTGTTTAACTTTTTCTGACTAAATATAACCAGTTTTGTGGCTTGGTATACTTAACGTAACTCATATTCAATCCTTTTTTTTTCGTCTTTTTTCGTAAGGGAACCTTGGGGAGATCAGAAGGAAGCCATGAAAGACAGGAGTGTGACCAGACAACAAGCAGTGGCTGATGAGCTGCTTCTGAGGCCAGAAGAGCTCCGAATCCCAGGCAGAAAGCAAATCTATGGGGCCAGTGACAATGCCAGCAAATTAGAGCAGGAAAAGTACCAGCCAGGTGAGGATTTATCAGCAAGCCCTGACTAATGCATGTATTTTCCACTGCTTTTGGAGGAGTCTGTCTTCCACTGACCAGCACAGTGTAGCCCATGGGAGTGCTGGCCCAGATTACACTACCTACATTTGTAACTGCTTGGTGGAATTAATGCATCTCAAAGTAATCTAATGCCAGGGCATAACATTGCCCTTGAATATGTCCTTTTTAGCCATGAAAATAAGTTCTTGTTGCTGTAATTACAGAATGACCATCATTTGCCATCAAGCATCATAAAAAATGTGAGGAAAGATGTACGTATTTTAATTAAGTTCCAGGGGAAAAAAAAACATACCTGGCTAGATTGCAAAGAGATGAACTCATTACTTCATCTATGTCTCATCTGCTGCCTGCTTTCCCCTGCAATAGCTTGATCAGACTAGGTTGCAGTCAATGAGTTTAAAAAGCAAATAAACATTCTGAAAGAGCCAGACCAGCGTTTTGTAATTCCTAAGACTCTGGACTGGGTATCTTCAAAAAGCCACATTTCTAGTGGACTGATGGGCAATAGTTTGAAAACTTTGAAATCTTAGGGGAAGTATCCCCCAAATTGGGGCATCAGGAGGAGACCCAGATGGAGCCACTAAGTGTTCTAACAGTCAGACAGCTTTCTACAGCTGCCAAACTTTTCCATAGATTGCACAGGTCTGACTTATTGCTAAGAAACGGCCTGGGCCAGAGCTGTCCTTTTCATCTCAGGAATGCACAGCTGCAAAAGTGAGGTGTCTGTTCATTTTGTGGAACGTGGCTCCAGGAATCTGAATTTGAATCTGAGCCACTAAGGCTACACTGTAAACAAGGTCAGATTCATAATCATGCTAAGTAACAACGAATGTGGGATGTGCAGGTGTGCTGTGCTGACACCCTTTGAGGATGTAAAAAAAAGAAACATAACAAAAAACAATCTGTGTCTGAACATCAGGGAAAAAAAAAGAAAATACAACAACAAATAAAACCTCTAACCTCCTAGTTCTACCCATAAAGTTTCTAGGGATTGGAGAAAGAGAAACAGCAATCATAATGAACCTCCTTTCCCTAGACAGTTAGCTGAGGAACTGTCCACAATGGAAAATAGTTTCTTCTTTTCTCAAACATTCAAAAAGATACCTTGAGAAAGTCACTATTCCTCTGAGTCAGACAGCAATCTGTGGGCTTTTTAAAGACTAAATCATCTGTTTGCCAACATTGGTCCTTGTATTATTAGACCACAGAAGGTAGATCTCATGTGTAAAGAAGGTAGTTGACCCTCCCCGAGTTCAGGAACAAAATCCCACATACCCCTCAATGGCCATGCACAGCCAGCCAGATGCTCTGGGATCCCTCTCCAGCCAAACACTTCCAAATATGTTTAATCCCCATGAAAGGCAGTGAAACTTAAGTATGTCCTTAAAGTTAAGCACCTCTAAGCATTTTGCCAAACAGAGTCTTGTGGAATGAGCCACAAAAGTGGCTGAAGTGGCTTTTTGCTGCACAAGCACTGCTGAACTGGGAATCTCATTTCCTATCCTCCTTCAGTTTTAGATACCAGCCCTGTCCGAGCTAGGAAAATGGCTGGCAGTGATACACTCTGAGCCAAAATGTTTTATACATCATAAAGAGATGATAAAATTAGCCAACATCTAATCACTACCAGTGATGTGGTCTTTGTAGGCAATGAATTGAACTGGTCCCTAGGAAATCAAACTGCAAAACTGTAAATCTGAGGGATGCTGGCCTGTCAAAGCTTCATAGGCTCAGCTTTGCCTAGCCTGGACACCAGCTCCCTGCCTTCCCATCCTGCTGGGAACAGCTTGGCTCCAGAACCTAGTTGGCTGACCACAAACCCCATCTGCATGAGCATGTTTGTTAAAACTCTCATTCACACTGTAGCCACAGCACTGGTTGGAAGAACATACATCAGGCTTTTTGTCAAGCAAAAGCCATTCCAACTGTCTGGGAAGACAGAAAAATCTGCTATTACACCACTTTGAAGGGTTTAGTTAGCTGCAGCACTTTGTCTGCAGTTGTTTCCAGAACTAAGTCCAAGAGAGCCTGAGAACAGGAAGGAATTAGGCACTTATGCAAAGACCATTAAAGTCAAGGAGAATTTTTCCATTGACTTGAGTGTGTTTGGCTCCTGGCCCTGGATATTAGACTCTTGTGTGGGTTAGAGCAGGAAATTGGAGCAGGACTTTGCAGGTTTTCTCAGCACTCACACAGACTCGGTGTGACTTTAGCAGAAGAGTGCGCAAGTTTCCCTGAATCTAACTGCAAGCAGTGACTGCTCATCCTGGATGCAAGGCTCTAATTCACTGTCTTTCTGTTCAGCCTATGCACCAACTCTACCATTCCTAGGATAGGTAGAGCAGACAGAAGAGTCCATTCCTACAGGCAACGTGATTTCCTTATGATTCCTGACATGTCTGCTCATGCTACATGACTTATGTATAACGTGTCAGCTTGAGATGCAAAAATACCTCAAACCAAAAACTGCAGCAGGTCTGAAAAGCTTGTCAATCCAAAGCTCGGATTCACATTAGGA